AGTGGGTGCGGGTGGCAGTGGGTGTGGACGGCAGTGGGTGTGGATGGCAGTGGGTACAGGTGGCAGTGGGTGTGGACATCAGTGGGTGCAGGTGACAGTGGGTGTGGATGGCAGTGGGTGTGTATGGCAGTGGGTGTGGACGGCAGTGGGGGTGGGTAGCAGTGGGGGTAGACAGCAGTGGGTGTGGATGGCAGTGGGTGTGGATTGCAGTGGAGGTGGGTGGCAGTGGGTGTGGACGGCAGTGGGTGTGGACGGCAGTGGGGCATGGACTGCAGTGGGTGCAGGTGGCAGTGGGTGCAGGTGGCAGTGGGTGTGGACGGCAGTGGGTGCAGGTGGCAGTGGGTGTGGACGGCAGTGGGTGCAGGTGGCAGTGGGTGTGGACGGCATGGGTGCAGGTGGCAGTGGGTGTGGACGGCAGTGGGTGCAGGTGGCAGTGGGTGCGGGTGGCAGTGGGTGTGGACGGCAGTGGGTGTGGACGGCAGTGGGTGTGGACGGCAGAGGGTGTGGACGGCAGTGGGGCATGGACTGCAGTGGGTGCAGGTGGCAGTGGGTGCAGGTGGCAGTGAGTGTGGACGGCAGTGTGTGTGGACGGCAGTGTGTGTGGACGGCAGTGGGGCATGGACTGCAGGGGGTGCAGGTGGCAGTGGGTGCAGGTGGCAGTGGGCGTGGACGGCAGTGGTGTGGACAGCAGTGGGTGCAGGTGGCAGTGGGTGCAGGTGGCAGTGGGTGTGGACGGCAGAGGGTGTGGACGGCAGTGGGGCATGGACTGCAGGGGGTGCAGGTGGCGGTGCGGGTTAGATGGTGGTGGGGGGCAGACAGCAGTAGGATGTAGACGGCAGTGGGGCGTGGACGGCAGAATTGTGTTCCGTCCGGGAAGAGTGAGGCCAGAGGACGGGAGGGGCTGACGCTGTGTCTCGCCGTGCCCTCTCCCAGGCCATGAGCGGAGCCTGCTGCGGGCGCTGCGGCGGCTGGACGACTACCTGAACTGCCCGCTGCCCGCCGAGGGCGAGGCCGACGGCGAGGACGCGGCCGTGTCCGGCCGGAAGTTCCTGGACGGGGACCAGCTCACACTGGCCGACTGCAACCTGCTCCCCAAGCTGCACATCCTCAAGGTGGCGCTGCGGCGGGCGGGCGGCACGTGTGCACGTGTCCCGGCGGGCGGGCGGCATGTGTGCACGTGTGTCCCGGCGGGCGGGCGGCATGTGTGCACGTGTGTCCCGGCGGGCGGGCGGTGTGTGTGCACGTGTGTCCCGGCGGGCGGGCAGCATGTGTGCACGTGTGTCCCGGCGGGCGGGCGGTGTGTGTGCACGTGTGTCCCGGTGGGCGGGCGGCGTGTGTGGACGTGTGTCCCGGCGGGCGGGCGGTGTGTGTGGACGTGTGTCCCTGTGGGCGGACGGTGTGTGTGGACATGTGTCCCAGTGGGTTGCGTGTGCGGACGTGTGTCCCGGTGGGCGGGCGGCACGTGTGGACGTGTGTCCTGGCGGGCGGGCGGTGTGTGTGGACGTGTGTCCCGGCGGGCGGGCGGCGCGTGTGGACGTGTGTCCCGGTGGGCGGGCGGCGCGTGTGGACGTGTGTCCCGGTGGGCGGGCGGTGTGTGTGCACGTGTGTCCCTGTGGGCGGGCGGTGTGTGTGGACATGTGTCCCAGTGGGTTGCGTGTGCGGACGTGTGTCCCGGTGGGCGGGCGGCGTGTGTGCACGTGTGTCCCAGCGGGCGGGCGGCACGTGTGGACGTGTGTCCTGGCGGGCGGGCGGTGTGTGTGGACGTGTGTCCTGGCGGGCGGGTGGCACGTGTGGACGTGTGTCCCGGTGGGCGGGCGGCACGTGTGGACGTGTGTCCAGGTGGGCGGGCGGTGTGTGTGGACGTGTGTCCCGGCGGGCGGTGTGTGTGCACGTGTGTCCCGGTGGGCGGGCGGCACGTGTGGACGTGTGTCCCGGTGGGCGGGCGGTGTGTGCAGACGTGTGTCCCGGTGGGTGGGCGGCGTGTGTGGACATGTGCTCCGGCGGGCGGGCGTGTGTGGACGTGTGTCCCGGCGGGCGGGCGGTGTGTGTGGACGTGTGTCCCTGTGGGCGGACGGTGTGTGTGGACATGTGTCCCAGTGGGTTGCGTGTGCGGACGTGTGTCCCGGTGGGCGGGCGGCACGTGTGGACGTGTGTCCAGGTGGGCGGGCGGTGTGTGTGCACGTGTGTCCCTGTGGGCGGGCGGTGTGTGTGGACGTGTGTCCCTGTGGGCGGACGGTGTGTGTGGACATGTGTCCCAGTGGGTTGCGTGTGCGGACGTGTGTCCCGGTGGGCGGGCGGCGTGTGTGCACGTGTGTCCCAGCGGGCGGGCGGCACGTGTGGACGTGTGTCCTGGCGGGCGGGCGGTGTGTGTGGACGTGTGTCCTGGCGGGCGGGTGGCACGTGTGGACGTGTGTCCCGGTGGGCGGGCGGCACGTGTGGACGTGTGTCCAGGTGGGCGGGCGGTGTGTGTGCACGTGTGTCCCGGCGGGCGGTGTGTGTGCACGTGTGTCCCGGTGGGCGGGCGGCACGTGTGGACGTGTGTCCCTGTGGGCGGGCAGCGTGTGTGCACGTGTGTCCCGGTGGGCGGGCGGTGTGTGCAGACGTGTGTCCCGGTGGGTGGGCGGCGTGTGTGGACATGTGCTCCGGCGGGCGGGCGTGTGTGGACGTGTGTCCCTGTGGGCGGGCAGCGTGTGTGCACGTGTGTCCCTGTGGGCGGGCGGTGTGTGCAGACGTGTGTCCCGGTGGGTGGGCGGCGTGTGTGGACATGTGCTCCGGCGGGCGGGCATGTGTGGATGTGTGCTCCGGCGGGCGGGCGTGTGTGGACGTGTGTCCCGGCGGGCGGGCGGTGTGTGTGGACATGTGTCCCTGTGGGCGGGCGGTGTGTGTGGACATGTGTCCCAGTGGGTTGCGTGTGCGGACGTGTGTCCCGGTGGGTGGGCGGCGTGTGTGGACATGTGCTCCAGCGGGCGGGCGTGTGTGGACGGTGTGTCCCGGCGGGTGGCCTGTGTGGACGTGTGTCCCGGCGGGCGGTGTGTGTGGACGTGTGTCCCGGCGGGTGGCGTGTGTGGACGTGTGTCCCTGTGGGCGGACGGCGTGTGTGGACATGTGCTCCGGCGGGTGGCCTGTGTGGACGTGTGTCCCGGCAGACAGGGCACACCCTGAAATGAGAGCGCCGGCCCCAGTCAGACACGGCCGCTCAGGCTCCTCTGTCGCAGGGCATCCCGCTCGCTCACCGGGCCTCGCCCACAGCCTCACGGAGGCCACGCGAACGCCACGGGAGGATGCCGTGATCACACCGCGCCTGATGCTCCAGGCTGGGCCTCCGAGCGGCTTCTGAGGATGAAGTGGGAAAGCTCCCTGAGGGGCCAGTGGGGCTGGTCCTCTCGGGGTCAACCACTCAGTTCGTTCAATCCCTCTCTCTCTCCCTCGCTCTCTCTCTCTCTCTCTCTCTCCCTCCCTCCCTCCCTCCCTCTCTCCCTCCCTCCCTCCCCTCTCTCTCTCTCTCTCTCTCTCTCTCTCTCTCTCTCTCTCTCTCTCTCTCTCCTTTTTCTTTCTTTTAAATATGTTTTTATCGATTTTAGATAGGATGGAGAGGGAGAGGGAAATATTAATGATGAGACAGAATCACTGAATGGCTGCCTCCTGCACACCCCGCTCTGGGGATTGAGCCCGTCACACTGTGACCTCCTGGTTCATGGATTGGCGCTCATCCTGGGAGCCACGCCGGCTGGCATCGGCCTCAGTCCTAACACCAACCCCGCCGCTGGGGCAGGGACAGCTCCCCGGCGCGGCCGCGGCCGGGTCTGGCCGCCTGTCCCCAGGTGTTGCACGCGGAATGGAAGTCACGGGTCATGTGACTTCAGGGCTGAGAGACGCCCCGGATTGGTGGTTCTTCAGCACGAGAATTGTGGACACGTGCACCCCTCCACCTGGCCCTGGCCTCCTAACTCAGGATCCCGGGGTGACCCTGAGATTTGGGGCTGCTGGTCCCGCCCTGGCACCATGGCTGTTCCTCAGGGTGCCCCAGCCCTGCTGCCACCTGCACGTGCCAGCCACTGGGCCATCATCACCCCTGCCGTGCCCTCGGCCTCAGGGACTCAGATGCCCCAGGGACTCAGATGCCCCAGGGCTCTGGGGCCTCTTTACCATTCACAACCCGCGGGTCCAGAGCTGGTCCTCAGTCTGGACGGGTGGGGGATGGGAGAGCAGACACAGGGACCCTGGGTGAGAGACATCTATCTGCTGCCTCCTGTACACGCCCAGACTGCACCCCGACTGGGCCTCAAGCCTGCAGCCTAGGTATGTGCCCCGATGGGGAATCAAACCCGCCACCTCTGGTGCCCAGGATGATGCTCCAACCACTGAGCCACACTCACCGGGGCCTGAGCTTCATTTCCAGCCACGGTGACCTCCTGTGAGCCTCCGAGTGCAGGATGCCTAACCTGACCCCTGACCCTGACCCTGACCCTGACGGTAACCCCCAGTGTCCCCTGTGGCCGAGTGCAGAGCAGTCTTTGGTGAAACTGTTTGAGGTCAAGATCCAGATTGGTCGGCCAGCGGCCCTGCCTCACGCCCTGGCCCTCCACGCGGTAGCGACATGGTCGGTGCCCTAGGTCTCCATCACCGGGAAGAACCCGGGCCCCTGGGTGCCGGCGACCACAGAGGAGGGGGCGGACGCGGAGACGGGAGCCCGAGGAGAGGCGGCGGACACGCACCCGATGGAGCATCGCTGCCATGAACTCCAGCACGTTCTACAGCCTCAGAGCTGGGGGCCCCTCTGACCGCTTCCTCTTCGTTTCCAGATCGTGGCCAAGCGGTACCGGGGCTTTGAAATCCCCTCCGACATGACCGGCATCGCCAGGTACCTGAGCAACGCCTACGCCCGGGACGAGTTCACCAACACGTGCCCGGCCGACCGGGAGATCGAGCAGGCCTACTCGGCCGTGGCCAAGAGGAGGAAGTGAGGGGCGGGCCCGGCGCGGGGCGGGGCTCCGACAGCCCTCTGCACCCCCACGGCCTGTCTGCCGGAGCGCCCCGGGTCAGTGACGCCCCAGGCTGACCCTGACGCTGGCGGCCGGCCTGTCACCGGCCCTCCCGCGGGCTCCCAGCAGCACCGCGCCGCCTGCTGTCCTCTCCGACCTCTGACCGTCTCCCCGCCGCCTTTGCTGCCGCCGGCATGGGGACACGGAGGGCACGTGTCTGCAGCTTAAGTTCAAAGCCAATCAGGGTTGGGTTCAGTGCCCCCTTTAATTAAAAAAAAAAAAAAGAGGTGTCTTCCTCTGATAGTCCTCAAAATCGTGGTTAGCCTGCTTTTCTCTCCAAGAGTATTGTAACATTTTCCAGAATGAAACCACTGTTTTTGTAATTACACGAGAACACGTGCCGGTTTTAACACTTTAACACAACGTCACCGATGGCCGATGGGGGGCGTCTCCAGACCTCCTGCCCCCCCCCCCCATTTCATTCCTGGGGAGCAGTGCTGTTTGAAGGACTGGTGGGCCGCTGTGATGCCCGATGGGAACGAGGACCAGAACGACAGGCCGGCCGAGCGGGCAGGGACGTGGCTGCCAGGTGTCCAGGGAGGAGAGCGGTGGAGCCCGGGACCCACAGGGACCGGCAGGGACCAGGGCCTGCACTGGCCCCGCTCGGCCTGGGTGATGCCCTCGCCTCAGGTCCCAGGGGAGCCGGCCGACCTGGTGCCTGCATCCCAGCCCTGCATCCTCTTTCCCCCCCTCAGAGACCTGCGCCCCCCCCCCCCCCCCCATAGCATCAGCCACGGGGGAGAACTCCCTGCCCGGGGTGCAGGGAGTCGAGCCCCAGTTCCCGAACGAGGGCCCTCTCTCAGCCCCGGCGCTGCGCCTGGTCAGTGCTGCGTGGGCCAGCCCGGCTCTCGCCGCTGCTCTGCCCCTGGTCGTGTCATCTGGAGGTCCGGAGGGGAAGAGCCAGAGCGATGAAGCTCAGGGCGACTGCGGCGGTTCTGGTAATCGGCGAGCTGGGAGGAGGTGGAAACCACTGGCTCAGAGCTTTCTGGTCCTGGGGCTCCCCGCCCGCGTCCCCGCAGCCCTCGCCTGTGTGGGCGGGGGGCCGGCTCAGGCCTCGGGGAGGACCGGACCGCCCAGGGCTTAGGTGTCGCCTGCCCCTGCCCCCTGCCATGTGCACGCACCCCACAGCCCCTGGGCGCGGACGGCCTGTGGCTCCGCTCAGCTGCTCGTTAAAGAGAGAGGTCAGCTGGGGGCTCAGGGCCTGGGACCCAGCGAGCCGTGTCCACGGGAGAGTGGCGTGTCTGCCAGGGCCACCAGCACACGGGCCACCAGCACACGGGTCACCAGCACACGGGCCGCCAGCACACGGGCCACCAGCACACGGGCCGCCAGCACACGGGCCACCAGCACACGGGCCGCCAGCACACGGGTCAGCAGCACACGGGCCGCCAGCACACGGGTCAGCAGCACACGGGTCAGCAGCACACGGGTCACCAGCACACGGGTCGCCAGCACACAGGCCGCCAGCACACGGGCCGCCAGCACACGGGCCGCCAGCACACGGGCCGCCAGCACACGGGTCACCAGCACACGGGCCACCAGCACACGGGTCAGCAGCACACGGGCCGCCAGCACACGGGTCAGCAGCACACGGGCCGCCAGCACACGGGTCAGCAGCACACGGGTCAGCAGCACACGGGTCGCCAGCACACGGGTCGCCAGCACACGGGTCGCCAGCACACAGGCCGCCAGCACACAGGCCGCCAGCACACGGGCCGCCAGCACACGGGTCGCCAGCACACGGGCCGCCAGCACACGGGTCAGCAGCACACGGGCCGCCAGCACACGGGTCAGCAGCACACGGGCCGCCAGCACACGGGTCAGCAGCACACGGGTCAGCAGCACACGGGTCACCAGCACACGGGTCGCCAGCACACGGGTCGCTAGCACACAGGCCGCCAGCACATGGGCCGCCAGCACACGGGTCACCCCCGCTGCGATGCCCCCGTGGACCGGGTGCAGAGTTGGCTGCCTCTGTAACTGGAGCTCCCGGTACTTCTCCGTGTTAACCGTGATCGGCACCAGCGCCACAGCCTGAAAACTAACCCGTCACACAGCTGTTCACGGGACCCGTGTCGTTGGTTTGTTTTCGCCGTGCATTCTCTGCTGAGACGTGAGGAGAAGGCTGAGAGGACACGGCGCTCGGTAACACCGAGAGCGGCGCCGAGCCTGATGCGTGTGTTTGGCTGAGACCACGGCTCTGAGTGTGAGCCACGGAGGAGCAGGGGGCTCACACCTGGGCCCTGAGTCCCCGGAGGGAGCAGGGGGCTCACCCTGGGCCCTGAGATCCCCCCGGAGGGAGTGGGGTGCTCACCCTGGGCCCTGAGACCCGGAGGGAGTGGGGTGCTCACCCTGGGCCCTGAGGCCCTGGGGGAGCAGGGGGCTCACACCTGGGCCCTGAGACCCCCCCGGGGGGAGCAGGGGGCTCACACCTGGGCCCTGAGACCCGGGGGCAGCAGGGGGCTCACACCTGGGCGGCAGAGCTCATGGGCACTCGGCCTCGGCCCATGGGCTTCCCTCGGTGTCACTCACGCTCCTTGGCTATTGGTGGGGCAGAGTTAGGGGACACACTGGAGCTGGGGGAGCTGGAAGGCCGGCTGCCTTCGTCTGTGGGGGGCAGTGACGAGGCGCCACAACTGGGTGGCATCAGCCAACAGAAATAGGTTCTGTCCCAGCCCCGGAAGCCAGAGTCTGAGACAGGTGTCCATGGTTCCTCCCGAGGCTGCTGGGGAGACGCCCCCCGACCCCCGGCCTCTGGGCGGGCAGCCGCTGTGGGGGATCTGGGCTGTGGCCAGTGCCTCCAGCTCCGCCTCTTCTCCACACGCTTCTCCCAGTGTCTGTGACTCCCCGGGGCGCCCCTCATAGGACACCGGTTATGGGGGACCAGGGACCCTGGCTCCAGCCTGGCTTCCTCTCGCCCAGTCATCCCCGAGACACGGGTGAATGTCAGCCTCCGCCTCCCCTCTGCGCTTGGAAGAGGCCGAGGGGGGACCTGGCCAGCGGTGCTGGCCACACGGGTGCTGATGCCCCCCGGGCCTCTCCTGCGGGCCAGGGAGCATGAGCCGGGCTGGTGCCCCCTTTGCTGGCTGCACCCCAACCTTCCCAAAGAGTGCTGACTGACCTCCCCCTGCCCGTGGGAGCCACTGCAGGTCTGTGCCCGCCCCTTCCCATGACGCCAGGCCGAATCTAAAACTGGAAGGAAGTTTAGTGTGGGGCACACACACGTGTGTGTGTGTGTGTGTGTGTGCGCGCGCGCGCGCGCGCGCGTGTGCACGCGTGCGCGTTTATTTATTTATTTAAAAAATATATTTTATTGATTTTTTACAGAGAGGAAGAGAGAGGGATAGAGAGTTAGAAACATCGATGAGAGAGAATCATCGATCAGCTGCCTCTTGCACACCCCCTACTGCGGATGTGCCCGCAACCAAGGTACACGCCCTTGACTGGAATCGAACCCGGGACCTTTCAGTCCCCAGGCCGACACTCTACCCACTGCGCCACACCGGCTTCGGCTGTTGTGTGCTTTTAAATAGGCATTTGTGCCCAGCTGGTGTGGCTCAACGGTTGAGCATCGACTTATGAACCAGAAGGTCAGGGTTCGGTTCCCAGTCGGGGCACCTGCCCGGGCTGCAGACTCCATCAGGTAGGGGGCGTGCAGGAGGCAGTGGATGCATGATTCTCCCTCATCGTTGATGCTTCTCTCTCTCTCTCTCTCTCCCTTCCTCTCTGAAACCAATTAAAAAGATATAAAATATAATTTGTGTGCTTCTTTATTTAAAACTTTGGTCTGGAGCCAGAAGTCCCTGACTGGGCCAGCGCCGAGCATCAATCAGGAGCACCGACAGCTCCACGCCCACGGGGCCCCGGGCGCCTCGGGGCGCAGGCCTGGCCGGCTTGCAGGGGAGGAGGCCCGGGCAGCCCTCAGGACGGGGCTGCGGGGGTAGGAGCCACATCCTCTTCCCTGCGTGTCCGGAGGCGGCCGGCCCCGGTGTGGGCTGCGGGAGGTGTCACCGCCTCACAGAGTCCCCGGCGCTCCGTCCCACTGGCCCGGGCCGGACCCGTCACCCCCGACTCCTTCACAGCCTTCCGCTCCGGTCTCCCAACAAAGCAAACATCGAGGGCGATGACCTCCCTCTCGTCCAGGGTGCGCGCAGGAGCGGTGGGTGGGCCACCTGTCTATGGAAGCACCCGGAAGGTGTCTTGTGACTTCAATAACAACACTGCCCGCTGGTCCGGGGCTAAGAAGCAGGGACTTGTGATGCTCGGGGTTAATGTTCTCCTCTCTTTAGACGTGGGGGGCCTGCAGGCACCCCTCACCCAGCACCTGCTTCCCTCCCGTTACTGGGCGCAGTGCGGGTGTCCTGTTGGCCTGCTGTGCTCAGAGCGGCCGCAAGAGGGCAGCCAACCCCAGGGCCTGGCCTGAGGCCGCCCTGGGCTGGGGCTGCTGGGAACCGCCTGGGAGGGGACGGGTTATGGGATGCGGCCGCCTTCTGGGAAAGCACGTGTCCCTGAGGGAAGCCGAGCCCCACGGCCCGTCACGGGGAGCGTGAGCCTGACCGGACCTGTGACTCCTCCATGGGGTCTGGGCTTGGGAGCCAGGGAGCCCTGGGCACGGCAGTCCCGCTGTTTCCGGTCGGAGGGGCTGGACCAGGGCTCTGAGTGTCATTGCAGTCACAGTCCCCGCAAGTGACCTCGGGCGACCCAGCCCTGTGGGTCCCGGGTGAAACCACTGGCCTACGCTGCCTTCCCTGCAGGCGCCAGGCTGCCCCCGGGGTCCCTCTTTCAGGCTCTGAGTCACTGGAGTGGGGTTGGGGGGAATGATGGCCGAGGCCCTGGGGGTGCTGGCTCCTTGGAGACGTGACTTGAAGGAGACAAAGGGACCAGGAGCCTTGGTGGCTTAGTGGCCCCGTCCAGGCCACATAACTCAGCAGCAGCTCTGAGCACCAAGCCAGCCGTGC